TCTCAACAAGATAAGACTATAATACGGACTTTGGGAGACGATTGCCCCTCCTACCACTGTTATAGTAACTTAAATTTTTAAAATAATTTTATTAATTATCACATTTAACATTTAAAAACCATTATTTTACATAGTTTTGTTAAGACTGTGAGGTTTAAATAGTTTCAATATTAAAACTAGGTATTATAGTTTTTAGTTGTAACTTCTTAAGTGTTAAGTTACTAAAAAAATCGTAAAATTATCTACTTGAAGTACTACCTAGACTTGATTTCAGATCGACAGATATGGCTATTTGAAACTTTTGTACTACTTCTATACCCTAAGTTGTTGTGCCTATATAATGTACAATTTTTATTTTCATTTTCATTTCATTCACTCTTAAATAGTATACCTAATTGCTTTGTTGTAGTAGCTATAGGTACCTTTTATTCACACTGTTTTAACAACAATTTTTATCTATTTACTAAAAAATTTACTAATAATAAATTAATAAATACTAATTTACACAGATGTATTAGTTAATTATAATTTATTATTAAGCTCACTTTGTTTGGTAGGTACCTTTATAGTTATAAATCATTAAATATATTTGACGAAAGTTGTTAATAATATTTCAAAAACTATTTAAGTTTATGAAAATATTTAATATACATAATTTTAAGTTTCAAAAAAAATATTTTTCCTATTTTTTTTATCATCGTTTTTAAATTGTTTGGAGTACTCCGATGCAAAAAAATCAAAGTTTGAATGAATAGTTAATGAGTCATACATTTATAACTTATAACTCACACGTAATTTAAACTTAGATGAGTGAATTAAAGTAGTGCAGTCATACGCAGGTATATCCTGCAAAAATTGTATCCACTAATTTGCTCATCTAAACTTAAAATACTTGTGTTAAAAACTACTTCTCCGAAATTTGATTTTTATAGATCGAAATACTTCGATTAATATATTGTTTCAAAATACAACATTAAATATTCAAGTTTAAAAGAGAAAAAAAATTGCAAAATTAAAACTCTAAAAATAGCTAAAATTATAATGTTGCGTGATGACTTAAAATTACATGAAATAAATATTTTTAAAAACGTTAGTGTTTTCTGAAATATTGAGTGTCATACGTTAAATGAATTAAATATTTAAAATAAAGTTATACGGTAAACTCATGATGGGGTTGTATCTAATAAAGTGATACATATTTACTAAATCTAATAAATAAATATAAGTATTGTCGTATGCGGTCTACTGTACTCTTGCCACCTACCACATATGTTTCTGAAGTCATGTGCGGTCTATAACAAACATGTTGTCTGCCTATATGATCATTTTCAACGATTAGACTATTCGATGACGATTAGGCTTTATCTTATTGATGGAACTTCTACAACAATAATATATAATACTATAATAAAACCTGGGTCCACCAATAATCATTATTATTCGTGAATGTAGTCGTAAACGTGTAATATAATAAGTTTAGTTTGTGCATTGTGCTGTAATATCCATGTGAATATGTGATACGTTGTTCTGATGTTTAGCCAAACATTTCAATGTAATTTTTCAATCGGAGGAGAATACAATAGCTTTTTTAAATAAAAAGGGATTTATTGAAATTGATACTCCTCCTTGTGTAAACTGTGTCTCACCAACCAAATTTATATTCGGAAAGAACGGGGAAAAGATCAAACTGTGATACGATGTACTAAAAAAGGTTGCCAAAGAGCTCAATCCATCTGTAAATGTAACACTTTTTCAAGAATAATGTATAAAGTAAAAATGGACAATGTAATAGTGGTTTATCAATGTCAACAATTTTAGGGTTGGCATATTATTGGTGTCTTGAAATACCACAAAATACCTAACTAAAATTAACGGGGCGTGGAAGTCACACAGTGCATGGCTGGATGAATTTCAAAATTTTGAAATGAAACTGTAAACCATTACCAATTTTTTGTCGATCCGAACAGTGGTTCGCACATACAGCACATAGAAAGTTTATTGGGAGGTTTAAAACTTCAAATAGTAAAAAAAAAATGCATTGTACACCACTATCATTGCTGTCCTCGTATTGAGCGGAACAATGGTGGCGTCTAAAAAGAGAATAAGTACAATATATTTGAATGTTTTTTAAAAGGCTTAAAATTATATTGTACCTAACGTAAATAATAAAAATGCTGTATTTTTTGTTTTTTAAACATATACCTAGACATATTATATTTGCATGTATTTTTCACCTACCTAAAATAATTTTTTTTCTTTTTAATTTTTTTAAAGATCGTGACGAGCATTATTGAATTATTATAATTATTTTGTATCATTAAATCAAATATACCAGAATTCTACTATAGTTCTACTATTTTAACTATAAAAAGTTTGTGATAGACCGCATATGACGTGTAGAAACACTTGTGGTAGGGCGCATATGACATGTAGAAACTAACATGGTTGATAACAAGTGTATCTCTAAATACGACAAGAATACCTAAATATTAAAATATATATTACCATATTATATTTATTAAAAGATATAGTTTATTATATAAAATCATTAAGAACAACGAGTAAAAATATTCTTGTAAATATATGATCATTAAATGTTTAAAATTTACATTTCGTATTGAAACTGGAGTTCAGAATGAACATCAATGAGACAATGCTATTGTATTTGTCTTTAATAGAAAATATATATGTATCTAAAAATTATGTTATAAGTTGAATGTACCTGCATTATATAATAAAAATGTTCTCCTTAAAAATTTATGAAATAAGTAATAAATAAATAAAATAAATATGTAATTTAAGTATTGTTTTTTGTACTTTATAAATATATAAGTTTAGTTTTTGACCTTCAGTGAAGTTAAATACCACCATAAACTGTCGCTGTCATAGCATATGGCAGTGTCGAAATGTTCATTATCCTATTATGCCTGAAACTTCTACCTTCCTCCTCTATGCTTCCTTCCCCTTCTCTTGGTTTTATATATAAATCGATTCGCGTCAATCATGACTGACCTATAAGCCTTGAATAAAATAACACCACTGCGATGAAAGTTTACTGTAACGATTTTAATGGAATTAGTGAAATACTCGTATTGGGTAGATACAGAAGAAAGTTTTAGGCTTTCAATATAAAGTAAAAATTTAATATTTTATCACTATAATAAAAATATATTTGTGTATTTATAAGATAATTTCAAGAATATCTAGTATTTGTTTATAATATTAAATTGTCTATATTGTTATTTATTCACATTTTATATTTAAATAATTTATACACAATCATTTTATTGAGTAGAAGGAATTTTTAAACTAACCAAATTTTTCATTCAGAATCTACAGCTTTTTTTCTTTTATAATATTAAAGCTGAATGCATATCATAAATCAATATGATACAAGTATACGACATTACGACTTTTTAATATAATGTAATCTTTATGTTATCACAAGCTTAAATATTATAAGCTAAGCACCTAATACATAATATAGGCAGCCGGGTCCCGGGTATATAATCTATCTAAAGTAAATCAAAAAATCTAAAATGGTTGTATAATTATCATGATTAAAAAGGATTACGATTTGTAATTATTTACTTATCATTCTATTGTAATAAATGTATAAATGTATTTAGTGTAGATAAAATTGTAATTGTTAAAAATTATAAATAAAATATATTCAGTTATAGATCGAACACTCATGAGGAAAAAATATAAAGAATATAAAAAACCTCGACTGAAGGGTTAGGAACATAAAATATTTAAAGAATAGTAGGTTGACATCTTAAATTATTCAGAATAATACATCGTCTCGTCTTCAAACTTAGTTTAACATAACTGTAGAAAGTAGTACTGCGTTCTATTCTCAATTCAAAATAATATAAACATTAAAAAGTTCAAAAGTTTAGTACTAAATTTAAATCTATTTAGAAAATGGTGTTTATGGTTAAACACTTGAACCGAAATGTGTGAACATATATATTTCTTACATTTGTAGAACATACAATACAGAATTAGATATAATATAAAGGTAGCAGACGATATATATGCATTTCTTAAAGATTTTTTGACATGAACTTTCAGTCAACAGATTCATATACATTTATCATAGTTTTCTATTATATACTGTATTAAATAGCTGATTATTATAATCCGGTATTTTTATCAATCTATTTATTAAGGGAAATATAGTATATTAGTAAGTACCTACAGTTGTGCAATAAAAAATAAACTATATACATTGAAAATTAGTAAGATTCGTGTACTATATAATATAGGTAATTAGTATAAAATGGAACTTCGAATAAGAAATTTTATTAAGTTATTATTAAACTTAAACGATGTTCTGTTAAAACGTTTTATGATCAAGACCCACAAGGGACACTGAAAAATAAATACTTTATCCTAAAATAATTAACGTATTTTTAGTGTGAATAATTTAACATGGTTACTAACTATAAATGTTTATTAACTATAAATGATTACATATTTTTATTTATTTATTTTTATTTACATGTATAGAAATAATTTTTATGGATTTGAAAAATGTAACTAATATGTACTCAAAATAATTTCACCTACTTAGGGAGATTGATATAGGTAGGACGGATATATAATATATTATGTGAAGGAACATAAATTTATTTAATTTGTTCAAATTCCCAACACGACCAAATCCTAAACATTTCTTAGTATAGCAAATAGAAGCAATATGTTATAATATCATAAATATATAATATATAAACAATTGAGATTTACAATTTTTAATCTAAAACTAAAAATAAATAATTACGCAAATTTCAAAAGCTAAACAAAAAAAAAAGATATGTAGTTACCTACTTTTTGCTAATAACTGATTTATAACTTAGCAAAATAGCAACAAAGCAATATAGTATCGTAGTTAAATGCAAATAAGAGCATATGTGCCCTAATATATAATACTCATTACCCATTGTACATTATATTAAATGATCATACAATCATTAATATATTTTTAAAATTTTCAGAATTTAAAATCTTCAACGGTGTCTTCTTCTATAGCCACTTGTCATAGACGTGGTGCTCCAAGATATGCTTTAGCTGATCAAAATAATACAACATTTAGTCGTGGATCATTTCCAAACGATTACAATGATGACGGCCTTGATGATTATTTAAGTCACAGGTTAGTTATTATAGATATAAAAATAAACTATTATATAATAAATATTTTTTGAATATTCAATATATTTAACATAATTATATATGTATATGACGTATATATTATACGATAATAGTCAATAAGGTTTATCCACCTAAACGTATGCCACTGCTATCAATTTATTTAATTTACGCATAGTATAAAATTCACACCAATTTAAAATTATTGTTTTATATAAATACGTTTAAAAAATATATAAATGCGTGGTATTTCCGATAAAAAATAAATAAATATCACTATACAGAGTACCTAATATAGATAACGCATTTTTTTGTTCCTTAAATACAGTGAGGTACCTACGCATTGAACATATAGAACTGCAACACAATACATATTTATAGTAAATATAGTACCTACTACGTATATTTCTACGTATGTTATGCCTTTGAAATTTAGACACATACATTTATAAAAAAAAAAAAATTATTTATCTGCAGTGGGTTCATCATGTCATAAAATATTGTTCGATATCAGGGTAGAGCTGTAGACTAGGTGGACTGTAAATAAGAACAAACCTTCTAAATTATCTATTAATATGCCCACAATTAAAACTTTTAATATTCATCAAAACCTAAATCAGGTAGTAGTTGTCTCATCATTTTTTTAAAACGCCCTTGATATATGACTACTGACTTGTATCGACCTTGTACAGAGGTTGACGCGTATGTGACGTGAGTAGCTTTCGGAAGTCTGTTGTGACTCGGATGCTTCTGTTATGTAGTGATATTGTTAGCCCGACGTGTGCGCCACCGGTATAGACTGTTATATTATATTGTAGACAGTAGGAGTCCACAAACATTATAATTAGACACACACACACACATACGAATATTATAACAAAATAGTCTGTCAAACCTCTCGTTATTTCATGTTAAAACACCGAGCATAACCCATTCACATGGTGCATTCGTTTTAGACGCTATACGCATCAATTGTTAATAATTATAAAATTAAAATATTAATAATATAATTATTTACGTATGTATGTATTATTTATTTTATTTTTTTTGGGGTGGAAGGCGGTACTCAGCAGATGAATGTAGCGTAGATACAGGAAGAAAATCTTTAACTTTTGACTTGTACGATAAGAAGCTCTCAGAGAGCATACACGACGTGCAAAAGAAATTTCATGAAATCACTGTATGTGAAAGCAGCACCGTCAAAGGTAAATATTTGTATAGCCAATTTTTTTTTTATAATTTTGTTAAGGAAAACTTTTGTAAAAATGTAATTTTAAATATGAAAATCTATAATTATTATATGTACTTAATGTCTTAATGTGCATATTGTAATGTAATTCAAAGTTAATTCTTCGTGCATTTCATGCACACAACAATAAAAAATAGTAATAAAATACAATAGAAAATATTTTTTCTTATTATTTTTATTTATCATGTAAAAATGTTGTATTGATGACTAAATGCCTAAATTCACAACACAAAATAATTTGTTTAAAATTTGGTTATAATTTGTGTTATTTAATTTTGCATTGTATTGATGTACAGAAATATTCATAATATATTAATTAATACATACTTTATAATTAGTATAATTATATAACACAACCCGTGTATTCACTTTTAATTGTTGTATACTTTCACAATTTTCACCACAAGTTTAATTGGAATAAGAAACCAAAAGATTGTATAATCGAATGCAAATATAATTTAAAACAAAGCATAAAATACTAATATGGGAACTTTATCTGTGTAATATTATTCTCCATTCACCAGATACTGGCTATTTTATGGAGAGTTACTTTTTTGCGAACGAACGAAAATCGAACAATAAGCCATCTTTAAAATTAATTTTTGAAATTCAATTATGATTTAGTTTCCACGAAATCATATATTACGATTTGATTTTTCTGTTAAATTGGTAACAATATATTTTGCAATACTGTTTCAGAGATGACACCAGAAATACCAGATTCACGAGTGCGAACGCCACCAGAATTATCACGTGTGAATACCGATGACCCAGCCGAATGTGTTAAGCAGATGTTAAAAGCTGCTAGAGATATGGAGTTGGAATCAGTTGTTAATATTTTAACAAGCCATGATGAAGAATTTTTTAGAAATAATATCAATGACACGGATTCAACAGGTCGAGTATGTACTAACAAGAAAATAATTATTTTAAAATAAGTTATGTAGGTTAGGTTAGGTTATAATCTATATTAACCTATATTAACCATACTTAAGTATGTAATAACTAAATAATTGGTAGTGACAAAAAAACATTATTAGAATATATTATTACCTAATTTCTATATATTTGAGAAAATAAGTTACAACAATAGTAAGAACATTTTTTTGAAATGTATGATAGAAAGTGACAGATATTTTTATACATATTCAAAAACTAACACTTGGGTCATTTTTATCTTATTAATAAGGGAAAAATAAATATAATACTTTAAAATAGTTTAAATAAATGTTGAATGATTGCATGAAATTTAATAATAAATATTCTAAACATAATGTAATTTAATATTATTTACTGGAGGTTTTACGCTTAAGAAATCGAAAAGGTTGTTCTCGTATACAAGGACTGGTAGGTTAACTGGTAAGGACTGCAATTGGTTATTGGTAATTAATGAAATAATACTATTTATTTTCATAACTTTTATTGAATTTACATCAAAAAAAAAAAAAATTTTTTGGTTGAGTATTTATCATGATTTATGATTGTATGAGAAAATTAAATTTGTTTTTAGCTTTATACAGGATGTTGTTTTATTAACACATGATTTGTAAAGCACTTGGAAAAACTCTAAAAAATCGACATCTTTTTAGATTGAAATTAAACAACGATAGGAATAAGTGATAAGTAATAATACTAAACTTAAAAACGTTGTAACTTGTAAAACTAACCAAAGTACTCATAACATACCAGTGTACTTCGCCAAGCGACCTAATTTAATATCTGTAATTCAAAATACTTAAAATAAAAATAAATTATGTGAAAGATAAGATATAAAAATATATGTATAACTTTTTTAAAGAACATATTGAGTTTTAACTTTTAAGTATTTTTAATTAATAAGAAGTATCATTTATTTATTTTTTGGTTGCCGTGGTAATTATGTTATATGGAAGATAAAATGTTCAAGACTTTAATATTATAAATTATACATGTAATCCGAAAGTCTAAAATTATGTATAGATTATATTATATGTAAATCTGAAAAATGGTATATTATACTCTTTATGAAAACGTAATGCTATGAATTTAATCTTTTTAGTTACCTATGACTACAAAAAAAGTAATTGGATGACATTTTCAATTTTAAACAAAGTTGCCACATATAAATCTTTTCAGGCATCCTTCTACAACTGTAAAATGTAATAAATAATAATATTAAAAATTTATAATCTGAGTGATCTGTTTAACTTTTTACATTGATTTCTATCTGTTATTAATTTCTATCCGTATTTGTAAAAATGATTTTCTAAATTATAAAGTATAATAACTATGTATTTTTTATGTCTTAAATTTTTTTCTAATACCTTTGTAGTTTTTAATTTCTAGTGAAAACATTTATATCGTATTTATAAAATTATTAATATGTATAAAATAAATCGAATATTGAATGAACATATTTTTAAAATATTTATAGCAATTTAAGTTTTAAAAAAGTAATGTAGTAATGTACTAAGTATTGATAGTAATAATAATAATACTTGCAAAGTTACAAATAAATATATTTTATTTGTTTGTTATTCACTGCTATACCTGTTTATAAGAAATATTAATATAATTGTTTGAAAATATTTGTGATCGGTCATCAAATTATTAGAAGTACATCTTATATTCTTATGATTAATAAAGTTTTTATCTGAAGCTTATAATGTTAACATCATACTTATGTTTAATAATAGTATGCATTTCTGTTGTTACAGACGCTATTGAGCTACGTTTCATCGAGTGGCAGTGCTGAAATAGTCGAAGAGATATTTAGAGTGCCGGATTTGGATTATAACAAACCGGACAATGAGGGCAATACACCATTACATTTTGCATCGCAAGCGGGTTAGTATAATGTGTAGTTATAGTTTGAACAGTGTTTTTTCAAGAGTTTGTTTGTAAACTATCATTTTTTTTAATCATTTGAGTGAAAACTAAAAGAGGAAGTAGACTGAGTAGAGGGACTGACATATAATTTTAAATGCAAAATTTGTGTAAATGGTTATTATTACTTTAGCAGTTTGGCTACATTAATTAATGCTATGTTCAATTAAGTTGATAGTAATTACTCATTTCATAATACTATGAAAATAATTAAATGCTTTCAAGATAATTATCATAAACAAATTTAAAAAAAGATTTTCATCAAACATTTTTTTTCATATACCTATTAATATCATGAATGTAGGTAATTTGTTATTTTTTGGTTACCTACATTTTTTTTTATCCAACGTCCAATATTTTTAATATATTTTATCACACTATTTCCGAAATGAACAATATTTACTTGTTGTAGGTCAATCAGAAATTGTGTGCCTGTTATTGAACAACTGTCTAAAACTAGAGATTGATGCCAGAAACTGTTTGGGCTTCACACCACTAATGAAGGCTGCTCTTCAGGGGCGCACGAAATGCGCGAAATTTCTACTGTATGCAGGTATTAAATACATAATATTTAATAAGTTATGGTTATCCTTATCCCACCTTATGTTACTTTACCTTAAAGATAAATGATGGTGCATGTTGATCATGGTACTTCATAGTTAATATATAGAAATATTATCCAAAAGAATGATGATATGTTAAAGAAGTATTTTTTATAGGATGGGTATATATTTATAATTTATTACCTAAGACCTAGGTTCTCATAATTACTTTTTAATACAAATTGGAAAATAAGAGTAAAATATTGATTTTTTTGTAAATTATAAGTTAGATATCAGTTAATATTACACTTGGAGAATTTATGGCGTTGTTAAATGGTATTAAAATCCCGTTCTTAACTGTATAGGTACCCAGACTTAAATAACATTTAATATCAGTATAATAGCTGTATGGCTGTATACCAGTTCATTCCTTTCTAATGATTTTTTTAATAATTAGCGGATTGTATTATGTATACTATAATAATAAAATATATTTAATGTACTTAGGTATACTATCATTATAATTTATAACACTTATATTGTAATGTGCAGTTATCCATCAAAGGTTATAAAAAATAAAGTTGTAACTTGATGGTTATAGGTGTTAAGCTGAAATAAGAAAGCCACAGGATTACAGGAATAATATGATGGTTGTTCTTTTCCTGTCATGAGGTGATTGTGAGTTAGGTCAGAATGGCTGATTTGAAGTCTATTAATAATAGTTTGAGTACCTACGCCTGGGAAAAATAAAATCATGATTCCGAAGGTAGTCGAACGGCTTAATTTATCTTAACTTATCGTTTGAGTTTTCTACTGTATTTCCATTTGTTTTCATTGATTTTTTTTAGGTTAGGTTATATAAGGTTTTTCGATTAGAGTGTTGTGGATTCTACAGATCCGTGTGGGTATTTGTTTTGTTTTTTGCAGGGGTTTCTACTTTTTTATTGCGGACGATATTGTTGTATCTGGAAATCCAGACGAATGAGTAAAATAAAAATGTATACCTATGGAGTTTCTCTTGATATACTTGTTAAGATACCTAATGCAATTACATTTCTCAAATATATAATTATTGGTTGTTTTTTCAATTCGTTATGTTGGGAGAAATTTAGATTAGGTGGCTTTTAGCAGTCCTCTTCGTTTTTACTCGTCATATACCTATATGACTATTAATTTAGTATTCGATGTACGATATACCTATTATCTATATAAATACACATATGTAACAGTATAATGTTTAATCCTTGAAAATTTATCATTTTACTGTGGGGTATATAAAATAGTTAAATAATGTCTCAATGTCTCATTATTATTATATATTATTATCATTATTATTGTTACAATATAGTGTTTATACTATAATATTGCAATAACCATAATTAATATTTACTATGCTATCCTTATTTTTTATGTATGCTGCCCAATTGAATGTTGAGCTATTATAACTTTTAGTTAGAAGCTAATAAAAGAAAAAATATTTCAAACAAAGTATTCTGCAGTAGCTACAACTATTTTCAATTGTCATACTTGGAAAGTTTATTTGATATTTGATCGTTGTCTGTTATACGGACATTATGACCATTCTTTTCTGTCAGTGTTTTTGGAAGCATTTCAGAAAATGTTAGAGTGCTAGAGTCTTTGTTTTAGTATAATAAATGAAACAATATGTATGTGTGAGTTGCCAGATGTATATTTTTAAATTCTATATTAAATTAAAGTGAATTAATTGATTTGCTATGTATTATGAGATTTTATCAGATACAACTTTTTTTAAGTTTTTAATGTTGATGTTTGTTTTCTTTACAAGGATAGATGCACATATTCCATTGTACTGGGCTATATTATGATTTATTCTAAGTATGTTTTTGACTTTTTTTTCTAGTGACATAAGTTAATAATGCTGTCAATTGGGCTACTTCTGAAAGCTTCAATAGCCATTCTAAAACTTCCATTGTGAATTGGGTCTTGTGTTTTTAGAACTGTTTTTTTGGCTCCAGAATAAAATATTGAAACATATTCTAGGTTGAAAGGATTAAGGCTTTGTGAATTGCGTCTTTGAATTATGTTTTCGCTGCGCCCTAATTGGTAGGTACCTATTTAGTTTTATTTTATATTAATAAAGGTTAAACTTGAAAAATTAAATTATGTTTTAAATATTATTATAATAAAATGTATGTATGGTTTCATGTAAGAACCAATTTTGAACTAATCACTTTGTTTAGAATTCTTATTGACATTGATATAATAACATTCTTAATTGAAAATATAAAAATGCCAACGTTTAAATTGTGTGAGTGTTTTATTAGTGTATGTTGTGTGTATATATAGCGCTCCATATTCTGATTAGAAACACGTTTTCTCAATTTCAAATTCAATTCTGTCTGATACGAACCTCGATGACATTTAGTGGACGCGCTAGTGGCTTAGTGGGTCTCTGAGTCCTGACCCTCTCGATAGTAATATTATCAAATATTGCTATTTATTTACCTACTTTTCGTTTTAACGTGTAGAAAAAGGTGATCAAAAGTTACAAACTGCAAACATCAAATTTACTAACTAAAAAATAAAATTTAAAAATAAGTTAAAAAAGTTAAAATATAGTGTTGGTCTTACATAGAATATTACAAACTGTTTATCGTTATAGTCTATATGGTTAAATAACTAACTATAAATACTACATGCATATATCTTATATTTAATTTAATAGCCAATATGTAAATCGTAAATGTTTATGTTAATATTATGCATTGAGTTTCACAATAAATATATTGGATGGTTCAATAAACTCTGTTTGAATTGATTTAGAAAGAGTTTTTTGACAGTATTCTAATACTCAAACTGAAATTGAATATTTTGATAAAATATAGGTTGGCTTTATGGGTAACTGTATTATTATGTAAAGTTTCTTCACTTCCGTAAATTTATTTACAGCACTATGAAAATATAAACGTTACGTCCCAATTTTTCTATAGGCAACCTAGTTCATTGCGGTATTATGCGATCGGCAAGGTGTTGCTTATTAACTGAGTATTAACTAATTGCGATTATAAATAATTTTAATTCCACTCATTGTCTGCTTGTTTATTTTATTCAACTTTAATTCGATCGGTTCAAGAGTATGACTCCGCAGTGGTCTAAAATTTTATTAGGTGAAAATAGATTATTGGAAAGTTTCCAGAACAGATTTTCAGATTTTGTTGGGTATACTATAAAAATAAATCACTCGCCTCTTGTTTATGAGTCAGTAATGAAAATATTAGACTTGTATATCTACATATTCATCAGATAACAGAAATTATTAAATACTATTAGAGTTCTTTTTTCTATAGCTTAATTCAGATAAAGTATAAAACTATTATACCCCTAACCTAAGGCATTGAACTAATTGGGCTCTAACAGTAGGCTTTAATCGTCGGATTTCAAACAATCTTCCACAACCAAATCTAATTTTCTTAATAATGGTTTCTCGTGTCGTGTGATTATTAAACTCTAAGCAGTAAATGAGTAAATACTTTTAGATTAATTTGCCTAACAACCACATTGCGCATCCTATATATTTTTATCTCGAAATTCTATTCAGAACTTTTATTTGACTGTTAAATACTTATTTTGGTATTATAATTTGATATTACTTTTACCTGTTATTACTTATTGATAAAATTAAGATTGTTTTAAACTTCAGTAAGTCCACAAAAAGACGGTTTTGAGTAAATAAAAAAATATATATAATTACGTCTTCGGCAAACTTTGGGTATGGCTTGTCTACATTATTTTTGTGGATAGGCCGTTAAAAAATTGTTAAGTAAAACTTCTTTCTAAATACATATCTAATTTTAAAAAATATATAATATATTAATATTTATTATAATATTATATTATTTATAAATTTATAATGTACTAATTTTAAATTATATCTTTGCAGGATAGGTAAATCGTATATGATACTATCATGGTAGATAACTGGGTAATATTATTAAGTATTAATAATTACAACACTTATTAATTATTAGTATTTCGGATGACCTATTAATAGTACGGCTCACTTAATGAACTATTTTTTAAAACATTAAAAAATACGGAACTTTTTATTTTATTTAAACAATAATTAGCATTAAAAAAAACTAAAAACTAAAATTATATCCGACATCTAAATGTTGTTATCTTTTGTCTGCGTAGGTAGAACAGCAGTTCACGTATTTTTTATAACAAATATTATCAATCAGCATTGTAAATATTTTAGCGGTATCATTTGAGTAGATTATAGTTTTATTTATTTGCGTCATTCTTATACAGCATAAATATGGCGCCAACACTTTTACCTTTTTATTATATTTCGATAATATTTTCAAGTATATAGATACATTATCAGGGCTGTGACTTTGTTGCACTAAAACCCATGAAATATGCACCCAAAAGGCAAAAAAAAAATAACATATTCACTAATAATATAAAATATGCAGAATTAATTCACAATCACATTATATAATGTTTTGACATGTAGGTTGGTATTAATAAATAGTACAAGCCAAGTATTAAAATTGTAAATAAACATACGTGTTTTAGAGAAAAAAATAGATAATCTTTAAAATTAAAATAACGTTGAAAGAATTGATGCAGAATATTTTTTTTACATTTTGTTGAAAAAACTTATGAAGAATGTCGTATTAAATAATTATCTATATATATGAAACAGAGAGGAAAATTGAAATTCCATAAAAACCCAAGAACCAATTTGAATATACCTTTTAAAGATTAAGGGAACTAATTAAAAATTTCGGAACCAATTCGAATTTTCCAAAAAGAATCACACCTAATAATAACCGGCTTCTTGTAATCGACTGACGGTTAAGACTTATGAATGTATTCTGTATTCTTAGTTGTATTAAAAATAATGTTAAATATTTAGGTACCAGTTACCACCAAGTACTATGCCAGCGTATAGTTAAAGTTTAAAATACATAAAATTATCATTGTGAAAGCCACAGAAAAGAAAATATTAGCATCGTGTTCAATACATAATATAATAGTTCATTGTAAGCGTGCAGTGACCTAGCTATAATTGATGCCGACGCTAACTTTAATAAAATATTTGATCAAGTCGTCTTATTTTTAAAATGTTGATCTAAAATAATATACTCATGGGTGTATTCTGTAGGTTAGTATAGTAATAATAATATAATAATAATAATATATAATAATATATAATAATATAACTACCTATAGTTAGTAGGTACCTACTTACTTTTTTTTGTTAGTTGTTAATATTTGCTTTATTTCAACATTATGTATGTTATTTTGTATATATTATCTTTAAGTATTATTTTGTGTTTTTATAAAAAGGGCTTGTCCCCGTGTATTTATGGTAAATAAACTATTGTGACAGGAGCTATATATTAATCCCGCTTGGCATTTATTTATCTTCCAGGGGCATCGCCTACCATGCGGGACACCGGACGCGGCCTGCGAGCCGAACAGTGGGCCAGATTCTGCGGCCGGTACAATTGCGCGGACGCGATCGAGAAACTGGCGCGCAACCGACTCTTGGAACGGACGACGTCGTACGGCCGGTGGGGCAGCGATCCAGAACTGGGTCCGCACATGCTGATCAACGGCCGGTTGATGCAGCCGCCGGCCGCGTCGGCGGTGGCCACGCTCCAGCGTGCGGCCACGCAGCACCACCGCTCGATCAAGTCGAAACTTAAGCGGGCGTTCCGCACGTCGTCCAATCCCGACTCGACCACCGGTACCGCCAACCAGTATTCGCTGGTGTCGCAGCTCACCGGCGCGGCCCTGTGCGCAAGCAGCCCCGCGTTGCCGGTGCACACGCGCGCCAAGCCCATGGTCAAGTCTTTGCTCAGACCGTTGACAGTGCCCAAGGTGACCGTCACCGGACTGCAAGAACCGCTCCAGCAGCAAACGCCCGTCCCGTCGTCCCCGAACGCCGCCGATTCTCGGAGCAAAAAACAGAAGAACAAAAAACGATGATGGTAACCGACAAACGCGGGTTACTGTTTAATTATTATGACTATTACTATGATTACAATTATTTTTACGTGGTACAGGATACAATAAATACCGTGAATTACCCATTTCTTTCTTGAAATAATATGCATAATGACGACTGTACCTACTGCTGCAGTACCTATACAATATATAGTCGTATAGGCGCCGTGTTGAAATTATAAAAAAAATTTTTGGGGGGGGGAGGGGGCAGATAAATAATTAACTTTTTTATTTAACGAACCAATGTAGCTAATTAAATATATATGATGATGAACAACGGACAATAAATTCGTATACTGAGCAAGTATCATATTATGTTTTCGTATTTACGATGGTAATTTATTTAAATGTATCTGATTCATTTTAAAAGTTTTCTGATACAGGATCGACTAAAATTCCCCGACACACTTAACCTTGATTACCTACTGATGTTCTAATTAAATTTAAACCACAGACCTATTAACTATGTTTAGGTCTATGATTTAAACTACCAATATCAGACTGCCGGAGCCATTGTTTTATACTGTTAAAAGTTATGATGGTGCTGCAAAGTACAAATGTAAGTGGCCATATACCTAACTATTATAGCAACCAGTGATTTTTTGAAATCTGGCACCTATGCTTGAGTGGAAAACGGTGAGCGAAAAAAGCTGAATTTGGTACCTAGGCATTAGAAATATTAAAAAACTCTTAATATGGACACAACGTTTTTTAATATCTGCAAAAAGTGGTCTTCATCATTAAATAAATAAATTGTTATTTAACAATAATTATGGAATTTTAACCTCTCGGAAAATTAATATGTGCCATATATCCACGTATCTAATTAATCTAGAGTAAGGTTTTATCTATAGGTAGGCAGTAGGCACTAATTGACTATAATAAGAATCTTTTATAATATGTAGGTACCAACTAAGGCCTATAGGTACTGTAACAGCAGCAGTCAGCTCTTGCATAAGACCATGTTAGTCCATAGATACCTATACCTAACCAACCAATCGACTGGCTATTTTAGGAGATTGTATACTATTATTTCGTTAATCGGATGCAAAATGTTATTTCATACTTACTAATAGTGATCTCGTGAAATTTTATCTTAGATGTATCTAATTTTCTTGTTATTAAATATATCTTCTAATATACTACCTATATAGGTACCTTGCATATTGTAATTTGTATTAAATAATAGGTAGGAATATGTGGCGTTGAAATCACAAATCCATTATCACATAGGTACTATAAAAAAAATAGCTGTATGTAAAATACTTTAGTAGTTTAGTACTTTACCTATCTTATAAGTCAGGCGCTGATCCATAACTCATTAACAGGAACAATTACATTGTTAAGTACCTAGGTATATTATAGGTATCATTTTTTTTGTTTGAAAATGTCAATGCATTTAAATTGAAATTAGAAAGTGGAGTTTCTGTGTTATTTAACTTAATGTACCTAATAAGGATGATAACCGGGATTATACATAAAATATGGGTTAAGTTTAGTCTAGTAGGTACAGTAATAGCCAGTAGGTAGGTACACCTACTTTTTATACACAGGCAATTTTTAAAAATTGTTCAACTTAAGTAAATTAATATTAATCACTATTAATATATTATCATTAGTAAGTATTTAATAATAAATGATGCAAAATATAAAAACCATAGTGGGGTAAGAAAGAGCTTATCGACACACTGAATCTACGCCTGCTACATAATTCCTATGATTCTTAAAGTATATAAAGAATAAGAATTTTTTGTTTTGTATTCCTACCGTTAAAAATAATATTACTTACTTATACCTTTCATTGAAAAAAAAATAGATTTTAAATGTAATTTCTAGTTTAAAATGTTGTTTATACTTTAAACTTCTTCAAGAAGCATTGTTACGAAGTTTGGAAGGTACCTAACCTAGTACCTTATACTCACATGAAATATTAGAAACTACTAATATAAAATGTTTAATATATGGTGAACAATAAAAAGCTTAACAAAGCACAAGTAGAAAATCAACTATCAAGAAAAATATGAAATAGTTGCTAACGTAAGTCAATTTTTTTAACTAGATTTTAATTTACCGATAATTATTTATTTATTTCCAAATATCTATTTTTATACATATTTTAGTTGATCTGTAAACTCAAAAATTATGCATTCACATTTGCTGTCACCTACCACTTGTCCACTTACCTAGCTAATACTAAAATACTTATGTATCCATAAGGCCATAAATAGCAAGATTTAAGTATTAGTCCCTACAACTGCTCCATTTTTTTTTAGGTAAGATAAATATCTGCATTATGAATATTAAAGCTACTGAGTTTAGGTTAATGTAAAATTAGATACCTACCTGCCTAGTTTAAATACAAAATAAAATATAGTTAGTACTGTTTCAGTATACATTTTTAAATTACGTTTTAATCATGGATAGCTGATTTATGATTTAGGTAGGTATCTTCTAGGTATGTAAATTGTATAGGGAAGTCGGTAGGTATTTAAAATATTTTAATATTTAATTGCATTTTTTTTTTTGATAGTAACTATATAAGGAAGACCTATTTTTTTTTTTGAAAACTACAGTTTATGGCCAATTGGTTTTTATTGACCTGGATTAAGCCTAACTATTTTTTTAAAATTAATTTAGATTGTACCTACATAATTTAAAAATATGTAACAATTATGTCACTGAGTCAAATAGACAATAGATAAAATATAATATTAAAAAGTACTAATTTAATCTTAAAATAATATTTAAAAATTACTAATTTAATCTTAAAATAATATTTAAAAATTAATATACACTTATCTTTACGCCTGTCACTTGTTCATTATCCAATTATTCAAGGATATAATATCATATATCAGTATTATTAATTATTATGAATTACGATAAGCCGGATTATGTAGGTTTAGTAACTAGGTAGTAGGTACCTACCTAATACCTAATACTATATGCATTGTCCTTAGTTATGATTTTTGCTGTAACTTACTATACCTTTTATTATCTATTATTAATGGATATTCAAAATTTACCAGAATTTAAGTATAATTTTAAGTTGGTCCTTTATTTTATTTTACAAATTTCTTTATTAAGACACAATTTTGCTAAATATAATTATTAAATTTACAATGATATTAAATGATATAATTTAAAAATATTTATTATGCATTACATATTTTATACTTTTGTATTTATTCATTTTCCCCATTTGAAATACAATATTATATTCCTGTTATTTCTCTTCAACCATTATGATACAAATATTTAAATATCTTGAAACAGGAAACATAGTGGTAGCCACTGGTGTATAATATCCTATATTACTTTTCTGAATTGTAAGTAATAGGTATTTTATGTGTAACTTAATTATTTTTCATTAGATTTTTTTAAACTCCAAATTATTATGTTCAAATTAGCTTAGAACTCAGTGAAATTAATTTTATCCAAAACTGTAGGATACTTTCTAATATCATAAAAATGTTTATGTAACATGATTCAAAAATGTATTAAATGATCTATGAAATATAATTGTACAAAATGACCGATGTCAACGAATGAATGTTAATATTCTCAATTATTAAGGTGCTCTTACAGATATTGTGTATTAACTATTTTAAATTAATATGTATATCATTGCCTAATGTAAAATATTTTTTCATTACTGTTATTATAATTATGATGAATATTAAATACTAAATACACAAACAAGTCAATAAACCATATCATAGAAATGTTATTTTTTACCATTGTTCGAAGTATATTATATGTTATGAAGTTTATAAACTACCTGCCTAACTAACGGTCTGATTACAAAAAAAAACTATCTATTATATTACTCTAACATTATATTATCGATAATGGCACTGTATTGTAAGGTTAAATGATAATTACTATGATGTATGGTTTAACAAAACATACAAACTATTTCCCAAATCCTAAAATTAAATTACTTATATAAATGTTTAATTTTTTACAGAACAAAATATTTGTTTGCACAACAGATAGAAATATTATTCTGAAAGTAAAGTCCATGGCTTGGAGCCAATTGGCATTAATCAATTACACTAAGATGTAAGGCAAATTAAATTTTTTTAATTTTAAACAAATAATAAAATCATAAAGTTTGGTATTATAAGTTAAATACACATTAAAAATAAACTAAACATTATTATTATTATATAGGAACTTCGAGGTACTGAAAACTCGAAAACATTACATTTATAATTCTAACAAAATATATAAATATAAACTTAGTCTTTAATTTGGTTTACCTACAAAATTTATAAATTTATACTTAATGAGCGTTTATAGAATGTGATTCTAGTGTTATATACTTTTATCGGACAATATTATAGTATAACAAATGATACCTAATAAATATTTCTAAAATTAAAACACTATAAATATGATGAAGGCATTCCTTAATAAAATGTAATGTTAACATAATAAGAATATTAATATTGTGATTTTTGTTTTAAAATTATCCATCATATACAGATTTAATGCCTTGACCAATAGCATTTATAAAAAATACAATTCTTAGATTATGTTGAAGTAAATATCAATTTGGTTTTATCACAGTTAATGTATAAATAATTATGATTTTATGATAGGTACATAACAAAAAATAATATTGCAACTTATAGCTCTTCATTAAATTGTTTATTTCTTCTTCGCCTTTTAGCTCTACTATTTGATAGCAGTTCACATGCTTGCTGTACTTCAAAGAATCGATTTTGCACGTCTTTCCTAGTTACATCATCTTTAGCTTTGTCTGGATGATATTTAACTGCTAATGTTCTACATTGATTTTTTATTTCAGTTTGTGAAGCTCCTGATCTTAATTCCAGCACCTTAAATATAAAATAATAGGTATGATTTATTATAACTTATATGTAAATATATGGACATCATTTTAGCTCAAAAACTAATGCACATCAATAGAACACAGATTTGTATGCACTAAAAAGTATAATAATATGCAGTAAAATAAATGAAAATATGCAAACATTTTATTAGTTTATAAGTTTAACAACTTAATTAGGAGTACTTGATGCAAAATAAATAACATTTTTAGTTAAATTGCTCGGCAAGATTAAATACTAGAAAGTTAACTTCCTGCTAAAAATTATAAAATTTATAAGTTAATCAAAAATATTATGTTTTTAGTCAACAATAGATAATATTTAAATTGTCTACTTGACAAAGTATTACATTATACATTTATAAGATTTTGAAAACTAAAAATTTAACTTCACTCCAGTAATAGTCAAGCATCAAAGTATGCATCAATATTAATATAAAATACAAATTCTTAATAACTTGAAACTATTATGATTTGCGAAGATAACTGACAAAAATGCATAAATATAAAAAAAGAAGCAAATATACAATTTCATAAAAATCTGAGCCCAATTCATAAATAATAATGTTGTCAAAGTGTATAGAAATTCTACATTTTAAGAATTCATTCGATGTAAGTTTACATAAATTTAGTTTTATACAATTTTTTCATATTTTACATACCAAATATATTCATTTTTAATTTTTTAATGTTTTATCAAATCGTATAATCTCACCTTAAAAGCATTTTGTTCACCCGAAGGATCAGATAATGTAACTATTTGTCGCCAAGTCTCCATCCACCCATGTGCTTGGGCAAATTGCCATACATCAATAAATGATTGTTTTACGTCTAACCACCAGGGTGAACTGAAAAAATGACCTAGTGCTTCATGGAATGGTACTTCGTCTCCATCTTCATCAGTCACTTTGGCGTTGAAGTACAAATAACTACTCCATAAAGCCATGTATAATAAACAGCACATACTAATCACAATGATTCGCCTGAAAATTGAGTTGCATAAGTAAGTAAATATTTAACAAATAAGACATCCACAAAAACTTTAAAAACAAATAATTAATTTTGATAAAAATACTAAAAATTTGAATATGATTTATTTATTTTTTATGATGAATTCTTACAATATTGAAGATTTATTTTTCATAAATGCTTACTTTAAGGTGCCTGGAATCTTCTGGTTTTTTGGTCTCCACTGTTTTTCCAAATGATCAAATGACCATGCTGCAGTTAATATCATTATGGCAAACGATGTAGATTCATCAATGTCATAGCCCCATTTATCAAAAATAAATGATTTCAATGGATTACCAACCATGGGTACTAAATATGCACATATTAAAGGCCATTTAATCGATCCTGTTTCATGACCAATATTACCCACAGCCCATACACCTAAAAATCAATCAACAACAATATATAAGTACTTGGTAAATATTAAATTAATTTTACTTAATAATAATTTAAGAACTCCTATGTGGAGTCTAATGGAAAAATCAAGTCATAAAATTGTACAACTAATGACCGTAATAATATGAGCTTAATCATATTATTTTTGTTTTTAATAATTAATATAGTCAATGAAAACATTATCTACGTTATTGGATTTCTAATTAATTAATAATCATATATTTTACCTAATAGATATTAAGCAAAGAACAATTTTTTTGAACTCACAAATTAAAAAATAGAGGTTGAGTATTACTAAAACAAATTAAAAGGTAATATGCTGATACTTATAATATGAGGGTTACTATTTATCATATAAATTATGAATTACTTACCTATAGCTGCAGCTAGAGGTGTAAATATTTGTAACCATTGCCAACTAAGACCTGCGACATTATCTTCAGGTATTGCTAAGGATACAACAGTACTGAAAAGATAAGCCACTACTACCATTCCAGTGAATCGAACCGTAGAAAATGGTGGCTGAAATATAGTAAACAAAGTCAGACGTTATAGTTTTAACTCATAATAAAAGATTCACATTAACTATGTAATAATTCAGTTATGACTTAAGTTAGTAAATATAAATTATTTTCTATTATTTAAAGATTTGAGCTGTGATTTGGTTATATATTCCTAATAGGTAACTAATCTTACAATATAAAACAAAATGTAATACGATTAATATAGACAAATAAACTGCATAACACGTAAATGGTAAATAGTAAATATTTTACGATATTATATATTATAAAATTGATTTCTAGTTCATAATTAATTATCTTACACATTATTTTATTTTTTTATTGAATAAACATTTGCTTAAATTATAACATAGGTAATATAATACTTATTTAGTTCTTTAAACTTAGGTTTAATATTTAGTTAAAATAATTTTGATAATATGTATATTATTGATTATAATCAAATACTATAAATGATTTATAGTATTTGTTATAATGAAATGCCTAATGAGTAATCACAGAAATATACACTTTAATAAGTACATTTAAATGTATACATATATTTTATTTATGTATTCATTTTTATATTATTGTAATACATTAATTTATTAGTTCTAGATTTCTGTAGATTACTACGATGATCGATTATTATTTTACAGTTCAAAATCCATCAAATCAACCATCTCGAAATACTAAATAACACAACCAAACACAACATTGTCATTTGTTACAATAATATTGGATGTTTAAAAAATATTTCAAAAACATTCTCCAACGGTTTTTCCAAAGGCGTCGGAGAATAATATTGTTGTTTTGGGGAATACAGATAAGATAACAATTTATGATTGATATAAAAAATAAATAAAAAGACAAAAATTTGGAATTTTTGTAAAGAAGAATGGAAAAAAAAATGGTACCTCACCTCCATCGATAAGCCCCATTATGTCAAGGGCCACTTGCGCGGCCCTCCCATTACATACTGTATATCTAGGACCAGTCGAAATCGCCCACGCCCGCCCTACGGATCACGGACACGTCGGGACGTGCACCGTTCACTTCCGTCATTTGGTCGGACGAGCGGGGCGGAATCGAACGGCCGTGAGGCCGGTGCACTCTCTGCCGCAGGTCCGGGGACTTTCCTCAGGTCGAAATGTGGACAATCGGTAACCGCTCGGTTACCGCGCCAAGAGTGTAGACCCGATGGTAAGGTAACGGAGGCGAGGTGAAGGGTAAGAGTCTGAACGTTTCTTATATACTACGTGATTCTGTTTAGCAGTCACAAGTGAGAGCGTTTTGAAATCAAAAACCGCCATCTAGCGATGAAATCAAACTTCACTAGTTTATTGGACGTGTGCAGGATGTCGCTAAAGTATTAGTTTACGCTATATTATTGTACCTATCCCAAACCGTCGCGATACCGTTGATCTTGTATAATGTTATGCAAAATGACCAGTAATATTACCGAAACTGGTTTATCCAAAAAAAACCGTTATGATACTATAGTATTTTAATCACTGAACTATATACCAGAGTATAAAGTTCGGTGGTTTTTATGTACGTAATGAATTTTATGTGTTAAAGCCTTAAGGGGGGATACTCACTCACAATCAGCGTGTCGTGTTTATTCCGAAATATCTAAGAAATAAAAAAATGAATATACTAATATCGTGATTATTTATTTAAGAATTAGGATTATCAGTGAACGATCTAACCAGAATGTAACTACACGTCAACACGGTCAAAAGTAACTTTCAACTGTTGGAGATCATTATAATAATAAAATATTCTACTTCGCAATAATCAATATAGCATCGTGTTGGTGGACACTAGTAAATATTTACAACCTCATTTCGGTAAGTCAATAAGAAAAAAAGTATTTTATACAATTATACGACACAACGAGTTGTGAACCCTTCTTAATAGCAGGCAATGTAATAATACCATTTCTATGAAATAAAGGTGATCAACCTTCATATTGTGTTTGTGTAGTATTCTCAAGGTTAAATTCCTAACGTGTCCAAGTGCCGAACTCTCCTCACAGAAGGGGCCGGTTAACAAATATATTATTATTTGGAAAATTAATTTTTGTTAGCGAAAAGAATTGTTGTTATGGTGACATTATATTATATTTATATAGTTCTCGTCGATACAGTCTATACATATATTATAGGTTTGTACTCAAAAGTCGAGTCTTTTATCCAACAAAAACAAATTATAGATATTGTTATGTGTTATCCTTTAATCTTTAGCCTTTATTGTTGTTTTCAAAGCAATAAAAAAAGTCACAGACAACAGGGTAGGTTTATAATATTTCAGAATGCTCGTAAAACTATGACACATATGGTATACAATGAATGTTATAAAAAAAAAATGTATTATTTGCAATAGGTTTTATAACTCTTATATAAGTTAAAATATACTTATTTATGAAGCATCTTTTTAGTTAGTAGTTAGGTATCTATAAATTGGTATAACTATAAGTTAAAAATATTTATCATTTGAAACTCTTAAAATGTTGTTTTTACACCATGTCATTCATTGATTAGTATATATATATAAATAAATATAATAGCCAATAATTAATTTAAAATAATTATTTATGTTACAGCCCTTCATATTATATTTTAAGGTTTTGTTTGTTATTTCATTATTTACCTACATATGTAAATAAGTATTAGAAACGCACGTTGTACAATCGTAGATAAGTCCTAGATATGCACATTATATAGTGAACTGTAAAAGATAAGAAACTGTAATAAAATATTGTTGAACCCTAGGTGAAACAAAGATTGAACCATACCACATATTATAGATGGAAATAGCCAATAATCAAAAGTTCATAAATAAAAGTATAGTCAATTTAGAATTTCTTTAAATCATGGCTTTAAGTTATAGTTGTTATTCGTATTTAGATAAATGTATTGAACATCATAAATGATAATTATTGTAGGATTTATATACAATTTTACTCTAATTTCCAGACCAATAAGAATAATAAACTTAACCACGTCACACAAAACAACCACGTATATTATAAGTAAATAATATGCATTAGGCATAAACAGCCAACAGCGACCATATGTGTTATAACTTGTAATATCATATAACTTAATTTCATAGATTATTCGTTGGTTAGTTTCGATCATTTTGGTTCGATAAAGGTATATTTGGCTATATTATACAAAATATTACAATACTTATGTGGTTGACCTATAATATATATTAAAGAACATCGAGTTGCACCTAGTAAGCCGCTTTACATCATTGTAATTATTCTGTCCGAAATCTTAAAATAGGAAGTCTCGAAAAATAATAACGACAAAAATAGGTAACTTATCCGAATTCCAATAAAGGCGACGAACGAGATAAATAATATAAATAATATTAATACTATGTCATCGGACGTTGATGAATCGCTTCGGTGTGTATATATATACATTATATAGGTACTATGTAGGTAGGTGGAATACGGATCGCGTTCCTTTTTTTCGTCTGACACTTTTTTCAAACCAACCGAGACGTTTCCGGCTGCCTCCACGACGTCACATCGTAAACGCAATGTATAAGTATATAAGTATGCCAACGTATACGTTAGGAAAGCTACATATAGGTATTAGGCACCTACCCACTGCATGTATTATTTTCATCGACGACGGTTTTAACAATATCGTCGTCTTGAGGTCGAGTCGATATTCAATAATTAATACACGTCGTATATTAGGTACCTATATGAATATATGTGCACCGAGTCCATCATAATTGTTGAAAACATTTATGTTGTGTGTGGGTGGGTGAAGTTAGGATTTTATGGCAGGAAAACAATTCAGACCATGTACAAACATGTGGAAAAAAGGCTAACAATTATTAAGTACACCTGCTGCAATTACTTACAGTCTACTGATAACTGGAAAACGTGAACATAATAAAGTAAGAAATAGGACACATATAAGTAATGGATAAGTATTAATACCTATATTACCTACCTACTATATTAACCTATTATTAAGTATCACATCATCATTATTATAATACTAAATAGGTACGCTGATATTACACCACCTTGTGGCCAATTTCCAGGTGTACTGGTCACCCCCCCCCCCCTCCAAGTCAATACCTATTGTAGACATTTTTTTAGTATTCTTTAAAACAAATTGTCTTTTTTTGAGGACGCAAACCGAGGAGTATCTATTTTCATGCCGGGTAAACGTCACACTGAGATTATTATAGTTGGACCAACCCACCGCCCCAGATAAATCCAATAGAAGCGCTCACCTTTTCGTACACTCGGACCATGTAGTCGAATTTTTTCATGTACTTTTCGTCCTTGTTGGCGTCAGCCACGTACTCGCCGATGTAGAACAGGTCCCTTAGCCAACCGAATCCGAAATACCCACCGAACGTGCACCACCAGAGAACGCCCTGCAGGTCTCTGCCCAAGTAGAAATGGTGCAGGCCACACACGCCGCCGATCAGCCACAGCAGATACGTAAGCGTTTTGCTCTTGTTGCCGTTGCTGCGGTGATTGCTGTTGCTGTTGCTGTTGTTGCGGATCCGATTGCTGCCACCGCTATTCTCTCCGAAGACACCTTTGCCCATTATTCCCGGTAACCCGAACATACGTGTAAATTAGGTATCGTTGCAATAATTAAATATGCAATAATAATAACTAAACCAATACGCGAGTGTTGTAGCTAAATACAACTACAACAATGGTCGCTGCAAACGAGTACGAGTGAAATTTCTGTGCCGGGCACGATACGTTAACGCGTTACCGATCCGTAATCGTTACTGTCGCGTATATAATAGTAACAATAATAACAACATATAATAACGCGATAGCCGGGCCCCCCCGAACACGTATGCGCTGCGCTTGGCGTCTGGTGGTGCCGAACAAGTGGCACGGGTAACGGGATTCCCGGATGTAGGCCACGCAGTTCAACAGTTGGTCGCGGTCCCCGTGAACGAACCGCATTCACGACGATGACGTCACGTACAGCGCAGGCGCTCGCGAGGCGTTCAACGCCGAACTGGTTGTCGTGGGCCGTCGAGGAGAATGGAGATGCGTTCCACTGCAGTAATACCTTCCTATACCTAGGTACTACTTGTTGTGTCCACTGGCTGTCCATACAATCGTACGATTCGGCCCGACGGACGTAGATACCGATATTTTCGTTTTTCGTCATTTCGTGTTTGCACTTACAAATTACGACCTGCGGTGACCACGATAAATTTAGATTTTAGGATAACCTTGTGATATGACAATAATATGCAAATTACGAATCGTAGTTAAATAATATTTTTATTTTATTTTTGTTTAATAATCAAATGAAAATTATAATTTCTAGAAAAACTCGCTAAACACGATGATGATTTTATTTATTTTCTATACGATGCGATATATAGATAATATAAGTACCTATATCTTGTTGTACTATGGTACTATAAGTTAGTATATATTGTTGAAATAGCCGGAGCACCATTTACAGTGATCAGGGGAAAGCTGTTCCATTTTAAACGAACATGGTTTTTACTCATAAAACTTGTTAATCACTCGGAAAACTCAATTGACCTAAATATCGAAAAACATAATTAAACTATTGAGCTTTCGCCACTTCAGAGTTTTTTGGTGTTTTGTTTATTGTTCACCTTCATACCATACTAAATACATAAATTGGTATATAAAGTAGGTATCATCTATATATACGGGTAAATGCTAAAATGAGTATAGGTATAGATAATATTTGTATCCTACGTATCTGTAATCTGTATGACTATAATATATGCCTATATAGTAAGTAATAATAGTAATAACTAATAAGTAATAAGTATAAAATATTTAAGAATACCGATTTGTATAACATTGCTTAAAAACAGTAAACTGTTGAACATCAATATTATATTAAGTATATGAGGCTTATATGTCATTTGCGTGTTAAAACACCCTCTACCTTCGGTGGTATAATTTAAAAATATATAAGATGTGTGAATAGTGGTGTATTTGAATATTAAAATAAAACACCTCACTTAAAAAATCCTGGCTGCCTAGTGGATGCGGAGCCCACGCTCCTGATATATGCCATATACAGGCAATTAAAATATATAAGTTATTCAAATATTATTTAATATCATTTTAATAGTGTCATTGTATATCGTACATACATTATAGGTATCTACTATACGTAGGTTGTAGATACCTAAATATTTAATTTCTATTGTATAGCTGTAACTTGTGAATAATTAATAACACGTTTTCTTTTAAAAATATTGTTAATAGTATCAGTTTATTACTATTATCAGGCTAATATATTATAATACTTATACAAGCCTATGTATATTATTTAAACATTAAAATATGTATAAGTATAGCAATAATGAGTAATGACCATGTTAGTGGTAGTAGTGCACAGCTAATGACTCTCAAGTTCAGATAGATCAACAACAAACTCTACTGGCGTTACTTACCGGCTAGTAGCTACCTAAAATTATATTAATTATTTTATGATGTGATTATTGGTATCTCGAGGCTATTACATGTTTGATAAGTTAATAGTTATTTATAGATTTAAGATTATGTACCGATTATTGACCAATATTACAAAGTATAATATATTAATCCTGATTGCTGGAACACCTACTGATGCATTTTGTAGAGTAAATTGTTGGTATAACTTCATAACAAATATTTTAAAACATAGATATGAAACATTTTGATTTAGATCAGAACAACTATCAACCTAAAAATAACGGAGAAAATAAAATTATAATAAGACCTAGCCTACCCAGACTTCTTCTTCGTCCATCTCTGAAGAATGATGAAGACGAAAGTAATAGCAATATTAAAATAGGTACTTAATGCAATATAAAAGCTTAAAAAAATATCATATTTCATACATATATTACTATAGTATAGGTAGTTTATAAGGTACTTTTTACTTATTTATTATTTATATTATGCCTAAAATAAGCCTTAAAGAACTTATAAGACTTTTGAAATTTGAATAATATGTTTTCGTTGTACACTTATTTGTACGCAATGAAACAAAACAAAAAGTACAATAAAATATGAAAAAAATTGACTTTTATAAATTTTTTACACGTGTAAATATTTGATATAGCAGTACAATGATGATATACTTATACAGTTATAATATATGGCTATTACGAGTTATGACTTATAAAAGTTATAAGTAATGAGTTGTAAGTTATAACTCATGGTTTATACCTTTACAAAATATAAACGTTATTTTTATTGTACGTATTAAAATTTCAACGTTGAAATAATTTAAAATTAAATTGTGCAACGGAGTTTTCGACTACTTACTCATAATTTTTATATCCAGTTAGTCATCCGACTTACATTCCTATTGCATAATGTACTCATGTATTATTTCGTCGTCAAAAGTGTTCTTTACAGTCTTAGACACATGAAAACTTTCAAAAATCAGATGACGCAGGCGACTCAGTTATTTTAACACGAAGGTCGGCTTTATTATTATCATCACACTACATTGAGATTCAATTAAATATAAACGCGTTAGTGTAAATATGTACATCATCTACGTTAAACAATTTACAGGGAATCGATTATCGACCATCCCTAATTAACGCAGATAGCATACTTTAGAGTTTAGGTATTATACTATTATAGATAGGTAATAAGGTAAGCAACTAAACAAGAATTTATTTAGGTAAACATTTTTGAAAAATATAAAATACTTATTATTTTGTCTTACATGATATTATAACAATATGAATAAGTTATAAGTATGAGTATTTAAATGTGATGTTACGTGTTATAACCATTAACCATATGTCCATATAGCCATATAGGTAGGTATTCCAATCGTATATGATTTATTATTCACAATCCACATAATTATATAATTAATAGGCAGATAATATCTACATATAATGAGTGACAACAAACTAGCATTTAAGCCTTTTAATAATTTAGTTGAATATTTTGAATTAATTTATAATTAAAACAACATCTTTATTACGTTTTACATATTATACCAGACCAGTATGACAGTTCCTATACCTACACATTATATATCAGTGCACAGAGTAGTCACAAGAAGATATTCTGATTTCTAGCATTGCAAAAACTAGAAGAAAAAATGTTAAGGCTATGGCTACTTATACATATATGATATATATATAATGTTACTTGTTAGTCTATACACACTTATATACAAGCCTGGGCAAGTTAATGATAATTTTCAACTGAGTTAAGTTAAGTCGATAGAAAATATTTTAAAAAGTTTAAAGTTAATAGTTATCCTAATTCTATTTAAACTCAGCTAAGTTAAACATTTTTTGAAAACTTATAAATTATAATTAACTATTTATGTGGTATGCTATTTATTTATTTTTAATATTTAAGCAGTTATTGTTATATGGCTTAAAATAATAAAAAGTAAATGTTTATGAAGCTCACATAAGATTCTTTAATCGTCAATAATAATTTTATTGTATTCATTTTTAATTTTTTATAAATTAACGAAATTGGATTCGACTAAAAGTAACTTGTTATTTATTAAGTTTATATCAATAAAAATCAGTTGAGTTAAAAATTAAGTTAATGAAAATTGAATTTAAAAAAGTTAAAATTAGCTTACTTTTTAACTCATTTACGCCCAGGCTTGCTTATATAATCCAATAATTGTGAACATAGACAACGTGTATATACTATATAACAAATATAACTATTTAATACTAAATAATATATTTTTCTAATATACCGTTACATTTTTTTACGCATAACTGTTTAAAAACAAATACTTCCATATACCTGGTAATGCAATATGATATAAGGTTAATAAAATATATTAAATTTAGATTTTTAACAGTGAAAAATGTAACAGCATCATATAGAATATGTATGTATAGTTCATTGTACATTATACTATTATAGGTAGGTACATACCAATTATATATTTCACCAATCACAATACAGTATTTATGTAGTATGGATATCTAATACCACACGGTAATACATAATAGTTAATACATATATATATATATATATATATATGTAAATATAATATAGCTTACGACAAACGGAATTCTGTTCCATTCTACTTGGCATAGCTATACTATATACATGCCATTATACCAACTAATAATCACTATAGAACTATATTACAATAATGATAAAATACAACGAATCTATATATGGCTATACCGATATGTGTACACAGTGACAGTACACTCGAGTAGTTAGTATTTTAGTATCATTATTTTTTTTTATTCTGCAGATCATCATATGGGCCTGGGACAAAGTAGTGTTGCAAGAGTAAATTTTTTTATACGTTTCACCTCCTAAAGTCCAAACTTTCTAAAATTTAAATCAGTTTTAAAAAAAAAAACGTAATTCGATTAATAATACTTATCATATTTGTATATAATATTCAAAAGTTCAATCCATTAGCGTCTCCAGTAAACTATCTTTTTGTATTAAAGAAGAGAACTTTTAGTCTGCAGATAAGATAAAAGCCCAAATTTTACTTTAAATAGTGTTAGAAAAATACGTTTGAAAAAGAACAAAATAATATATCGTGCATTATTATTCAAATGAACATTTTAGCCTATATAGTTACAACTTTGGAATCGGGCTTTGATCCGAAGTGATCAAAAAGTTATATTCTTTTAAATAAAAAAAAAAGTGAAGGAGATCCGACCATTTTACGGGGCGTGAGAGTTTTTCCTGTGAGACATATTTTTGTAGTAAAAAACTCACCTTCTCCCGGCTCCGACGACTTTAAGGGAATTCAGAATTTGATTATAATTTTAACTGGAGGCTGCTGTTTTTTTTTTTAAGTTAAAATATCCTAGAAAAAGGTATACCACCCTAGGTACAATCAACTGTTATAATAATTTAATACTATAC